GTGCAGCCAAAGCCGCAGCAAGACACTTCCAAACCAGCGCTAGCAGGGGCGATGAACTTTCCACGTTGCTGATGGAAAAGCCACTTCCAGCTCCTCCCGCCACCCCAGGCCCCCGGTGCTGGACAGAGGAGCGTCCCAGCTGTGTTACTGGCCCGGCCCCCAGCTCAACAGAGTGTGGGGACACCCCCCGTGGAGAATGAAGAACCAAAGTACCTCAAAGCTTGGCGTGTCTGCCCGACCTGGAGGGGTAGCGAGAGGGACGCCTCTCTGGGCTCAGCAAAGGCTCCCAGTCTCTTCCAAGTTCCACCGCACAGCCAGCTTCCTCTTCACTGGGAGAGTCCGCAGGGGCTGACTTGCTCCTTAAGGTCCCAAGACTATTAAGAGACACCTGGTGACGCCGGGAAAGGGGGTCTAAGAGGCATGGACGAGAGTCGCGGGGGGACCAAGACACTGAAAGCTCCTGGAGACTCGAGGCAGAGCGAAATCTGGGAGCAGGGCAGGAGTCTCGGAATGGGATGTCGAGGGTGGGAGTGTCCTGGGGCTACCACAGGGAAGGACGCAGCGCAGAGCTCCCTTCGGAGCCCGGCACTGCGGCCCGCGAACCTCGGCACTGCCCGGTCAGGCGCTTTCAGACGTGGCTGCGGCCCCAGAGTGGCCGGCAGGAGCCAGGGAAGTGGAAGAAGGAAGGAAGGAGCAACTTTTGTCCCCAGCTCCCTCTCCCCACCCCTGATCGAGGGGCCACGCCTCGGGGAGGGGCACCGTACGAGGGCAGGGCCGGAGGGCCCAGGTGGGCTGGGGCTCTAAGAGGCACGGGGTTTAGCCGAGGATGTCAAAGGACGCTGGCAGAGTCACTTCTCATCTAACTGACCACAAATAAACGTTGTAACCCGTCCCCCCGCAAATCCCCAGAGAACCTGGGAGCTCCTCGGAGGACAAAGGCCCTAGTGAAGGAAGTCGAATCTTAATCTTGGCCCTCCTTGCTCTCCGGGGCATCCTTGCAGGGAAGGGACTTGGAATCCAAACCCTTCCTAAGGCCCCAATCTCAGCCCCAAGCCAAGACCCAGGCACCTTGACACAGGGACCAACGCTGTCTCCCGGTGCAGCGTCCCAGCCGGGAGGAGTTGAGAGACCAAGTGGCCTTAGGAGCTGTGCCCTACCTGCCCTAGCCTCTGCCCAGAGGCGCAGGCTTGATAACAGGTTCTGACGAATACAGGATATGTTTCAGTAAATAAAAGCTCCCCACCCACCCCTTACAAATAACAGGTCAGCCCCAAGTGGTGGCACACGACTGTAATCCCCGCACTTTGGGAGGGGAGGCAGGCAAATCACTTGAGGTCAGGAGTTCAAGACCAGCCTGGCCAACATGGTGAAACCCCGTCTTTACTAAAAATACAAAAATCAGCCATGCGTGGTGGCACATGCCTGTAATTCCAGCTACTAGGTAGGCTGAGACAGGAGAATCGCTTGAACCCCCGAGGTGGAGGTTGCAGTGAGCGGAGATGGTGCCATTGCACTCCGGCCTGGGCGACAAAGCAAGACTCCATCTCAAAAACAAACAAACAAACAAACAAACGGGCAGAGTCCAGTCATCTGAAAAGGATAGAGCATTGGGAGGTCCTTTAATCCATGGTGGTATCTGCAACAAGAAGTCCCAGCTGCGGGGAGTAGAAATTAACACAGTCTTTCCTGGCCGTGGTTTGGCAATGAATTAAGATCCTTAACAACAGTCGTAAGTTTTTTGAATGTATCTTAAGGAAATAAACCAGCAATAAGGATTTCTACGCAAGGTTTATAGAAGTGTTGTTTATAATACTAAAAAGGTTACCACAAAAAAGATTAGAAAGATGTGTGCCAGAATGCCAACCATAATAACTGCTGTGATCAAACTGCTGTGATCCCAGCACTTTGGGAGCCAAAGCAGATGGATCACTTGAGGTCAGGAGTTTGAGACCAGCCTGACCACCAAGGTGAAGCCCTGTCTCTATTAAAAATACAAAAATTAGCCAGGCGTGGTAGTGGGCACCTGTAATCCCAGCTACTCAGGAGGGTAAGACAGGAGAATCGCTTGAACCTGGGACGTAGAGGCTGCAGTGAGCTGAGATCATGCTACTGCACTCTAGCCTGGGTGATAGAGTGAGACTCTGTCAAAAAAAAAAAAAAAAAAAAAAGAAAAGAATAACCACCTACTGGTACTATGCTTATTACCTGTGTGATGATATAATCTGTACACCAAAGCCCCAAGACATACGATTTACCTATATACGAAACTCATACATATATCCCATGAGTCTACAACAAAAGCTGGAAGGAGAAAAAAAAGGTAAAGAAATAATTGCTTTATTAGCCTTACATGATGGAATATTAGGGGAGTCTCATCTGACTTAAGCCAAAACTATACTAATCATTTGGCAAAATCAGGAGTCTTTCTGCCTCCAAATATTCAGTAATAACATCAAACCCTAACTTAGCAATGGGTCGGAGCTGAGTTAATAAAATCCCGTATACTTCTTGCCTTTTTTTTTTTTTTTTGAGACAGAGTCTAGCTCTGTCGCCAGGCTGGATTGCAGTGGCAGGATCTTGGCTCACTGCAACCTCCGCCTTCCGGGTTTGAGCAATTCTTGTACCTCAGCCTCCTAAGTAGCTGGGATTACAGGCATGTGCCATCACGCCCAGCTAATTTTTGTATTTTTAGTAGAGATTGGGTTTCACCATGTTGGCCAGGATGGTCTTGATCTCCTGACCTCATGATCCACCCATCTCTGCCTCCCAAAGTGCTGGGATTACAGGCGTGAGCCACAGCTTCCAGCCTCTTGCCTTTTATTTCCCTCTTGCAGGTATGCTATGATTCAGAGTCAGAAACTATCAAGATCTGGTCTGTAAATAATTTCAAATTCACCAGACACAGTCATAATTATCCAGCACGTAGATTTCACATGGCATGTGAATTCCACTGAAAACTCATCTACTTGGGGAAGAACTAGGGGACTTTCATCAAAGACTTAGTGGAAGTTCCAAGGTCTTTTGGCAGAGCCTCGTAAAGCATGGCCGCAGATGAGTAATGAAAACAGGTGTGCAACCTCTGCCCTCCTTATTCTTCCCCATTCCAAACCCTTTCTCTTGAAAAAGGTACATGCGATCTTCCATTTTGACTTTTTTTTTTTTTGAGAGACAGGATCTCAGTCTGTCACCCAGGCTGGACTGCAGTAGTGTGATCACAGCACACTGCAGCCTCAAGCTCCTGGGCTCAAGTGATCCTCCCGCCTTGGCTTCTCAAAGCATTGAGATTACAGGGATGAACCGTCATGCTCGGCCTCATTTTGAACATTTTAATTAGAAAGGTACAAAACATCATAGGTTCTTTATACAAAATTTGCATTAGAATAATTTAATAAAATGCAAACTAATGTTTGTACATTATCTTGTCATCCTTCCATATCTCATTGCCTTATGGGGATTTAAACAAGAAACTATTTTTCATTTAGATCTTAAGAAAAAAATTTAGGCATATAAAACAGCCTGAATATTAAAAAAAAGACAAGGGGGACAGTGTTAGGGAATTCCTCTGCTTGAATACTTCAAAATAGCTTTGTTTCCAAAATTGTTTTTAGTCAGCCTAAAGGAGCACTAAAAATGAGAACTGATCTCCATGGTAAACTGAGACACACACTGAGGGGTATGTTTCCGGGTGAACATGAAGCATGGATCACAGGGGCCATGTCCTCCCAGTGGTAATGACCTGCTTGGGATCAGAAAGCAGCTCCATCTGTCCTTGGAGGAGACTGCACGTGTCCTCAGGAGATGAATGGGCTGAACAAACCGTCTTCCGTGTGCAGAGGCCCCTTCCAGTCATCTTTGCTCTTGCAGACACTTGCTTAGCCACGAGGGTAATCTGGCTGGACTGCTTGGCATTCTGCTAGTGGCCAGGCTGGACTGGCCTGCCCAGGCCAGCATCCTCTTTACTCCCTCACTGCTTCTTGTGTCCTTCCCAAAGCTGCCTGCCCTACTCTGATGGGCACTGTGGTCCTTAGTCAAGGGAAAGGCCAGCCGCTGGGCTTCCCACTAGCCTTCCAAATAAACTTGTGGTTGTCAGGCAGTGGGAGCCAATCCCAACACCAACTCCTGTTGCCCCTGTCCTTTGCAGGAAGGGGGACGGCTGTCAAGGAGGAGGAGGGCCAAGTGCCCAGGCTGTTGGGTGAGGGCCAGAAAGAACCTGTTGTGACAATCCTTTCTTCCCTCAGTGCTGCTGAGGGGGCTGGGAATGAAACAGCCCCTCTGACTTCAGTCTGCTATCAGGGGCACAGACAGAGGGCAAAATAGGGTGAAGAGCCAGCCACAGTTCGGCAAAGATCCAGGGCTGCTCAGCTGAGCTGATAACAGAGGACTGTTGGGCTGGGGCAGGTGGACAGTGCAAGTCGCCTTCAGCAGCCCTCCCTCATGCCTGTGCTAATGCAGCCCTTGCCCTTGGGCCCTGCCCCTCCAGGTCTCCAGTTAGAGGCCTCAGCTCTGGAAATCAAAGCTCTGAATGGGAAATGGAGATGCCCAGGGGTGCAAAGTGCTAGTGATTGGCATGTTTGTCACAAGAGAGCCCTGGAAAGAGTAAGAGTGGCTCACAGTAGAAGGAAGAAATGCACAGCGTGTTTCTCAGTTCAACAGAGGAAAAGTCTCTGCTTGACCAGAGATGGGACTCTTTCCAAGATGTCTGAACTGACTGCCATTTTCTCCCAAAATTCAACTCTAAGGCAAGGAAGAAAAACCCAAAAAAGCTAATTATAGCCTCCAGGAACCCTCAGACCTTTCCACAAACTAGTCCTTGGTGATTCCGCAGAGCTCTGAAGATATGGAACTTGTGTAGAGCAAAACTGGAAAGAACTGTTGTCTCTGAGGGGAAAGGCACACAAGCCCGCACGTGTCCACTGTGCTCTTTCAAAAGGTCCTAAGATGTTCCCAGGAGATGACAGTGAGGCAGCCACGGTCCTGCCGAGTCTTCAGAAACGGCCTTCCTAGGATAAGTGCTCCTTACACACTTCTCCCGGGGCGTCGCTGTCACAGGGATGGTGGTCACCACCTGATTCTGAAACACGAAGATCTTGATTCTTTCAAACACCCAGAGGAAGATAAGCAGGATGCTGACATACTGCACCCAGGCGAACTTTACCATCTCCCAGAATCCTGGCTGATAAGTATGGACAGCTAAGGAATGGAGGCCCACATGGTGTTAAGTATGAAGAGAAAATCCAAGACGGAACTGGCCGTGGCAGAGGTATCTAGAAAGGAGGCAGGACCTCTGTCACGTACACACCCAGATGGAAGGTGACCTGCTGAACTTGGCCAAATGGTAAAACCAGCCACATTTTATTTGAACTATTTATATACTAAGCTTGATGACCAACCTCCTAAACAGACAATTATGCCAAACTACATTGATCACAGACTAGAGACATCCTGAGCTGTTAACCAGCCATCATCCATCAGGGACTCTTCTAAAATCTTCCAGTTGTGTAAACTTACAATACCTTTATTAGCCCCTGCCTAATCGTACCTGTATGGAACACAATTTAGCTGCTTCCTAGGTTTGTGTCTCTGGAATTGTAATTCCTAAGGCCCTAGTTAAAACGCCTTCTCTTTTGTTTGCTTCTCTGCAGTGTTCGTGTTGGTTTCATTTCCTATTAGTTGACCTAAGTCAAAATTAAACCAAAGTTTAGGTCAGACAGGGACTGGCAAGAATGTTTCACATAACCTTAGCATAAAAAGGATAATATATGATTACTAAGACATACAAATGGATGATTCTTACCTAGAAGAATTGCTTGGAAACAAATAGGACCAAGAAATGAATTATTTGTTCCTGTATGAATAGCAGATATACAGTCATTTTTTGAATCATGTAGCCTAAAATGTCAAAGACACAGCCATTTTCATGAGGCTATAACTCTGTCGTGATTTCCAAGAGAACACTTCCCACATCAGTTACTACTTGAGACAACTGAGGAATCATTCCTCTTTGAAAACTGAACTGCCATTTAATTTTTTTTTTTGTAATTGTTGTTTAAGAGTCAGGTTCTCACTCTATCACTGAGGCTGGAGTACAGTGGCACAATCATTGCTCACTGCAACTTTGAACTCCTGGGCTCAAGCAATCCTCCTGCCTCGGCCTCCCAAATAGCTGGGACTACATGTGCACACCACTAGGCCTGGCTATTTTTTTTTTTGGGGGGTAGAGACAGGGTCTCACTACCTTGGCCAGGCTGGTTGTGAACTCCTGGGCTCCAACGATCCTCCCACCTTGGCCTCCCAAAGTGCCGAAATTATAGGCAGGAGCCACCACACCCAGCCTTACCATGGACTCTTTAACAGAAAGGATATGAAATGACTTCCACAGGGTATCGGATGATAGCATTAATCACAAATGGAGCATCTGCGGCTCTGCCCACCAGCCAGATGGGGTTGGGATCATTCAGGATGGTGGTAACTGCAATGCAAATAATTAACCATTAACCACGATGGCTGTTTGACCCTGGCAGTTGAAGGCTATAAAGATTATTTGATTCCTGGAAATTATCGTGTGCTTCAGAACTGAAAGAAATCATTCAGAAGGAAAGAGAAATTGCATGTGCAAAGTTGATCACACATTATTTGCTAAAATCATAGTCAAAATACTTTTGTTAAAATACATTAAAAACTTAGAAAGTTTCTTCTACACGTGCTGAATGGCTAACTGAAGGAATACTATACTGCCACTAAAAGTAGTATCACAGCTTTGTAGTTGTGTGGGGAAGTATTTATATCCCAAGTTTAAATAAATAAAAATAACCTGGATCCCAATGTGTTTCTACACTACAAGAGCTGTATAAAAAGATCCGCAGAAGGGTAAAGAATGAAAGGAATGAAAAAATAGCTGATTTCTAGGGCACTGTTTTCTAGTTTTGTTTTAAAATTCCCTCTATTATTGCAATAATGCCACTAGTATATGACACAAAAGCAGTAAGCAATACTGGATTTGCAGTCGTCCCCCTTGTGAGATGTCTGTGTATAGTTTCCATGATGTCTGGTTGCCAAGTAACACTCTAGATGCCTTTAGAGAAAACCTCAGCCACCGACCAGACAAACGTGCCGAGTCAACACATGCCCTGGCCTAGAGCTCTGTAAGGAATGAGCACATTGTGCCTTCTGGCAGGAAGCAGGGGCACTCCTGTTCTCCTGCAGGACTGCTAATGTGGGGAGAGTCACTCACGTCCTCTGCTTTGCATGAACAGCAATTTGTCTTTGGCATCTGTTATAGGTGTGGTATGGGGAACAACTCAATTACGCTTACATTTTTTAAAATGGCAACTCATCAAGCCAGTGGTAGGAAAATGATGGCATTTAACTATCACTAACCTTCTGGACCATGGGATGCTAGAGGGGTGGGGGCGGTCCCAGGTCTGAAGATGAGGACGAAAAGGACAAATCCTGGACAGCACATTTGCTCCCATCGTTGAGCATTCACAGGTTTTCACATTTTTTTTTTTTTTTTTGAGACGGAGTCTCGCTCTGTTGCCCAGGCTGGACTGTAGTGGCCGGATCTCAGCTCACTGCAAGCTCCGCCTCCCGGGTTTACGCCATTCTCCTGCCTCAGCCTCCCAAGTAGCTGGGACTACAGGCGCCCGCCACCTCGCCCGGCTAGTTTTTTGTATTTTTTCAGTAGGGACGGGGTTTCACCATGTTAGCCAGGATGGTCTTGATCTCCTGACCTTGTGATCCGCCCGTCTCGGAGGTTTTCACATTTTTATCATAAGGGTTCCAATTCTGCTTGTCTCTGTTGCCCCCACTAACCTTGAAAGTCCTGAGCAGTGGCTGAATGAGCTCTACCTGTGACTCACCGTTCCTCTCCTGGTAGGCAGCAACAATATGGGTGAGGTCGTAGTCATAGGCAAAGGGGCTGGTCCCATTGATCACGGATACCTGGTACACAGGAGGAGGATGTGGTGTGAGCACCTGGGAGACTCCTCCTCTCTTCCTTCTACCCTTCTGCCCACCCAGGCTGGTCCCACAGAGCACCCTCTCGTTCTTGGTGGCCTACTGCAGTATCAATAATCTTCTCTTCAAAGATGAATAAACTCTCTTGCAACAATTTAAGCCCGTTTACCCTTAGTCTTTCTTTCTGTGGATGGAAATAAGGGGTCAGTGTCCATGTTTCATAGGTTTTAAAGCTATTTTTAAAATACCCCTCTCTATCTCAGTGGGAGAAAGAATTCCTTAAATTATTTTAATAGACCATATTTTCTCCAGGTGTGGTGGCTCATGCCTACAATCCCACTGACTTGGGAGGCTGAGGCAGGAGGACCGCTTGAGGCCACGAGTTCAAGGCTGTAGTCGATGATGATCATGCCACTCACTATACTCCAGTTTAGGAAACAGAGCAAGACCTCATCTCTCTCAAAAAAAAAAAAAAAAAAAAAAAAAAAAAAAAAAAAAAAAAAAAAAAGGCAGGCATGGAGGCTCATGCCTCTAATCCCAACACTTTGGGAAGCCCAGGCAGATGGATCACTTGAGACCAGGAGTTTGAGACCAGCCTGGCCAACATGGCGAAACCCCATCTCTACTAAAAAGAAGACAAAAATTAGCCAGGTGTGGTGGTATATGCCTGTAATCCCAGCTATTCAGGAGGCTGAAATCAGAGGATCTCAAGCCTGTCTGGGAGACGGAGGTTGCAGTGAGCCGAGATCATGCCACTGCACTCTAGCCTGGGTGACAGAGCAAGATTCTGTCTCAAAAATAAAAACAAAATAAAAATAAAAACCCCTACACAAAAACGAAAAAAAGAAACCATACTTACAACTCTTTGTCATTTTCTTGGTCTCATCTGGGTGCTAAGTTCTTTATCACTTTTAAACACAGAAATAGATAAAATGCAAACCACAAGCGTGTGCATTTTTCCCTCAAGAAAACAAGACTGCTGTTACTGTAATCTGATATATAGACATTCAAACAAAAAGTGCCACATTCATTTCGTATGTTGCACCTTCCTCTTCTGTACAACTTACGTTGATTATAGCCAGAGCAACAGTAAAATCTCCTATATAGCTACAAGTACTGGTTTATGGCTATAATAACTGATAACATTCCTTTTTCATTTTCTAAAGTACCTCAGCTCGACTTCTATGGTCGCCATTGTGATAAAAGGAAAGTGAGAAATGAGTGATTAGATGAATGAGTTCTGTACACAGACAGAAAGTTCCTGGCTCTGTTATACTTTTAAGCTTCGAGTCTTTGGGAAAATTAATCACTGTAAGCCCCAGTTACGTCTTCTGCAAAATGAATTCATTCTTTAAACAAGTATCTGTGAGCTTACCATGTGCCAGGCAGTGTGCTAGGCACAGACGTGATAGTATTTGAGATGCCACTGCTGCCAAGGCTGAGGGAGACAGCAAATAAACACACAAACACATATCCTGAGGAGGCCAGGTGGCAGGAGGGAGAGTCTGGCTGAGGGATGGTGGAGGGAGGGGCTGTTACTGTAGATACAAGTCAAGGAAGGACTGTGCTTGGGGATATCTGAACAGGGACCTGAATGGTGTGGTCCGATAAGCCACGTGGATGCCTGGCAGAGGAAATGGCAAAAGCCCTGCGGTGGCAGCTGCTTCTTGGTTTCGAGGAACAGCAAAAAGGCCAGGCTGGCTGGAAGGGAGCAAGGGGGGCAGTGATGGGACAAGTGGCTGGAACGCTGGGAAAGGACAGTGCAGGCAGCTCAGAGGTTGCCGTGACGATTAAGAGATAATACAGGTAAACCCCTGCACTCAGGGGTGGCATGTCTTATGGGTTCAGTAAACTATGGCTAGTAATATTTCTGAAATACTTTACATGAACATTTTACATCATCATTTTACAGTATCCCTCAGAGTACATCCTGTGTGTGACCAAGTGTGTGTATGGAAGACAGAATGTGTGTGTGTGTGACCACATGGACCTAAAAGCAACAGGCAATTTAGTTCTTTGACAAATACAGATTTTGTTTCTCTTCCCTTCTAGATGTAACTATGCATGTACCTTCTCTGTAGTTTGAAAAAATTCATGGCAAGAATTCTGCAGAGACCCTCTTTGGTGCCACCCACAGAGAAATGATAGTTCTATTTTTCTTTTCTTTTCTCTTTTTTTTGAGACAGAGTCTTGTTCTGTCGCCCAGGCTGGAGTGCAGTGGCGAGATCTCGGCTCACTGTAACCTCCACCTCCTGGGTTCAAGCAATTCTCCTGCTTCAGTCTCCCAAGTAGCTAGAATTACAGGCACGTACCACACGCCCGGTTAATTTTTTATATTTTTAGTAGAGACGAGGTTTCATCATGTTGGCCATACTGGTCTTGAACTCCTAACCTCAAGTGATCCATCCACCCGCCTCCACCTCCCAAAGTGCTGGGATTACAGGCATGAGTCACCGCGCCTGGCCTGACATTTCTACCTTTCATTCCCCTCTTTAAAGAACTTAATGAACAGTAACACACAGAAACAAAGGAGCTGGACAATGAGAAGCGCCCTTACGTTGTATCGGGCATCTAGGCCACCACAGCTCAGCGGCTGCTTCTGCTGCAGCCTCAGGTCTCCGTTCACATATAATTGGGATCCCGGGACAGGAAAGGAGGACTGGAGAAACGCCATGCTCTGCATCACGAGGGTCACCATCCTCTGAAATCATTAGAAGGACCAACATACCAACCGCCATCAGATCTGAAGGGCTCTGGGTGCTAAGAGTCACCTGTCTTGGCTGAAACCTAAGGGGCCCTCACATACCTAGCGTAGCCATGCAGGAAACACTGCCTAGAACCTTCTGAGCTATTAACAGCCCATATCAGTTAACATGACTTTAGTGAAAACCATTCAATTGGCCTAAGTTAAATCCCAAGCTACGTGGGGAAGAGGGCCTGCTACAGTGTGGGTCTTCTAGAAATCAGAAGAAGGGCTCTGGTCTATTAAAAAGACACAAGGGAGAGGACGGCCTCCCCGTGGACTGACTCACGTGTAATTGATAGGAGAAAGTCAGGATGAGCTGCACACCGAGAACGTGCTCCGTGGACTGCAGGGGAAGCTCCAGCTTAAAATGTAGCATGTCCATCTTCCCATCTTGGTTCCTGTCTTCCTCTCTAGTCTAGGAAACCCAAACAGGGCCAGCAGCCCCGGTCACTAATGAGTCTGGGAGGAATCCACATCACTTCTGTGTCCTGCTGTACACAACAGGCATTCTCTCCCCCACCAAAAGAAAAAGAAAAATAGACAGATGTAAATGCATTAATACTGGGGAGAAACACAAAGTGCATGGCCCCTGAACTTCATATCCGAGTCTTTCAAATGTTCACTGGCCAAACTAAATGGGTGATAACAAAAAACATCTGGATAGCATTTGCGTCTTTTAGTTGTCTCATTTGATCTTGTTTATTTTGCACTGTCATTTTTTTTAATAAACATGCCTGAATTTGTATGGAAATTTTAAGTAGCACATCAGAATCGTCTTCTATGTCTCTAGAAGTCAACTTGTTAAATAGAAAAACACCTAATCCTAATCATTATGCACTCCCCAACAAACTGAAACTCAACAGAAAATCACCAAGCTCTATCTTTTTTTTTTTTCTGAGCTGGAGTCTCGCTCTATCGCCCAGGCTGGAGTGCAGTGACGCAATCATGGCTCACTACAACCTTCACCTCCCAGGGTCAAGCAATTCTCCTGCCTCAGCCTCCCAGGTAGCTGGGATTACAAGTGCCCACCACCATGCCCAGCTAATTTTTGTATTTTTAGTAGAGATGGGGGTCTCACCATGTTGACCAGGCTGATCTCGAACTCCGGACCTCGAGTGATCCGCCCACCTCTGGCTCCCAAAGTGCTAGGATTACAGGTGTAAGCCACCATGCCCGGCCTTACCAAACTCTATTTATAGATTCTGAAACCACAAGTGTCTTTGCTTCAGATTCTTGATGTTAGATCTCATCTCATCATTCATGTCAGGACTTGAAAGCCTTGTGCATCTTTTAGTAGCAATCAATGAAATGAAAAAGGAAGCTACGTCAGATAAGCAAAGCATTAAAACCGTATCTATTTGATAAATTATGGGCATGAAAGGAAAGAAGACAAGAGGTCTGTAGAGGAAAAAAAGACAAAAATACAGCTTATGAAGCATATGTAGGCAGTGAAAAATAATTGGTGGCCAGGCGCAGTGGCTCATGCCTGTAATCCCAGCACTTTGGGAGGCTGAGGTGGGCGATCATGAGGTCAGGAGATCGAGACCATACTGGCTAACATGGTGAAACCCCGTCTCTACTAAAAACACAAAAATTAGCTGCGTGTGGTGGCAGGCGCCTGTAGTCCCAGCTACTCGGGAGGCTGAGGAAGGATAATGGTGTGAACCTGGGAGGCGGAGTTTGCAGTGAGCCAAGATCGTGCCACTGCACTCCAGTCTGGCGACAGAGTGAGACTCTATCAAAAAAATAAATAAATAAATAAAAAGTATCCACTCCCACCATCCACAGTCTTGCCAAACAGTGATGCCAAAATGACGATCAGGAAAGGATGGTTACTGAAAAGTGATCACTGCTGACATGGTCCCTCTGCACAACTCTGAATCTTTTTGCTACAACTGATCCTTCCCCACTGTAGATTCCCAGAACAATTCTACTATCGTGTAGCAGCATTCCCACCTGGATCCACCATCTACTGATTCATTTTGATTCCCACCATTACTATTATGTAAGGAAGAGTTTTTTTGTGTGTGTGCTTTTTCAGGCTAATAAGGTCATTTGAAACGAAGAAATCTCAATTTTCAGAAACTTTCAATTATTTCTTTCTCTCTAAACAATAATGTCCTTCTTTTAGGTCTTGTTTTAGAGAAACCTCCCTCCCTTTTCTTTTGGATACTTCCTCTCTGCCCTGTTTCATCAGCTTTGGGGAGGGATATCTGCTACCGGGCTGATGATCAAGTTTCTGAGGTAATGATGGACTAGTCATTACGGGTAGGATGAAAAGAGCCTGCCTTGCGGATCATGAGGTCAGGAGATCCAGACCAGCCTGGCCAACATGGTGAAACCCCATCTCTACTAAAAACACAAAAATTAGCTGGGAGTGGTGGTGCATGCCTGTAATCCCAGCTACTCAGGAGGCTGAGGCAGGAGAATCGCTTGAACCAGGGAGTTGGAGGTTGCAGTGAGCCAAGATTGTGCCACTGCACTCCAGTCTGGTGACACAGTGAGACTCCATCTCAAAAAAAAATAAAATAAAAAATAAATAACAGAGCCTGCCTTGTCTTCCTGTGGATTTTCTTCAATTGGGATCTGGGTAGAAAATGTTGTGTAACTCTCTGTGATGGATCCACACCTTCTAGAGCTTTAGGGTTGGACAAGAAGCAAAGATCACATTTCTCAACTTGCATCAGAGGATAGTGGCCAGGAGAGAACTGCCAGAAGAATCCAGACTCCAACACTGGAAGTGGGAGGGGGAAAAGCTCATTTCCTTTGATCTTCACAATAAATGTAAAGCCCCAGGCAGGCAGAACAAGTATTTTCCCATTACACAGATGAGAAAATCAAGGGTGAGGGAGGTTAGGTACAGCTAGTAATGGTGAAGACGGGATTTGAGATCAGGTGACTTCAAATCTGGTCCTCTTTAGGACCAAAATGTCCAGAATTATTAAAAAATTCAAAATGAAGACGGCAGGCTGGACAAATCTTCCTGCAAAACGGCAGCACCAGGCATCTATGTCTGTATACTTGCCTGTGCACATCCTTCCACTCCAAGTTCAGGGAGGACATATTTGGCACAGCAGCATCAATAGTGTCTACTTGTTAAATTCACTCAATGATCTGTTATGTACTTTTTGGAACCTACTACACGCCCGGCACTATTTCAGATAACGAGAATATAACGGCAAACAAAATAGACAAAGTCCTCATCCTAACGGGGAATACACTCCCAATGGAGAATGTAGAAAATAGTGACAAGTGCCACTGGCAGAAATGAAGCAAGCTAAAATTAGAGAATAATGAAGGTAAAATTTAACAGAAATTAGCCAGGGGTGGTGGCTCATGCCTACAATCCTGGCACTTTGGGAGGCCCAGGCGGGCAGACTGCTTGGGCTGAGGAGTTTGAGAGCAGCCTGGGCAACATGGTGATACTCTGTCTCTACTAAAAATACAAAAATTAGCCAGGCGTGGTGGCGTGCACCAGTAATCCCAACTACTCGGGAGGCTGAGGCAGGAGAATCGCTTGAACCCAGAAGGTGGAGGTTGCAGTGAGCCGAGATTGTGCCACTGCACTCCAGCCTGGGTGACAGAGCAAGACTCATCTCAAACAAACAACAACAACAGCAAAAAGAATTTAACAGAAATTTTTAAATATTCAGGATGACCTGACTTGTTGGAGTCCTGAAGGAAGTGAGGTGATGGGGTGCAGGAACATCTCAGAGAGGAGGGATCCAGGCTAACCAGGTGCCTGTGCTCTGGGTGCCCATGGGGCCAGTGCAGTTGGCAGAGTAGGTGAGAAGGAGAGTAGGGTGGAGAGATGGGGGAGAGAAGTTTTGATGGAAAGGATGTGTCGCCCACAAATGACCTGTCACCAGTCTAGACTCTCACCCTCCTGGGGATGGCGAAGTTTGGCTGTGCTCCTCTGTTATCGCTTGGACCACTGAAGAAATAAATTATTTAATTCCATTTAGTTGAAAGTAAGTTTAACAAATACGCAACAGCTAACAAAGGCAGGCATTCAAAGGCTACTACTTCTTTAACACAAATTCTAGGTCTCTAACCTCTAACTGGTGCTTAGCCAAGAGAATTCACACATCACAGCACCACCTTATATCTACAAGGTATATGCAGGCATTGGAACAATTTTCATATCCATTCATTGTCCCATGTGATTCCTCTGCATATCCCAGGAGAGAGGTGGGTACTCTCACGCCCTGTATATGGATAGATAAATTGAGGGTGAGGTTATGAAACCCAGTGACAGAACTGGGACTAGGACCTTGGTTTGCTGACTCTTGATTCAGGGATCTTCTACAATAGCTCATAAGAACTCTAATTGAAAAGATTTATCATGGTTAAAGGAGGATAACCCTTTACAGATACACATGAAATCCACACTCATGTACTGAGCAGAGTCAGAAGGAATTTTTTTTTTTTTTTTTTGAGACAAAGTCTCACTCTGTCGCCCAGGCTGGAGTGCAATGGCATAATCTCCACTCACTGCAACCTCCACCTCCCAGTTTCAAGTGATTCTCCTGCCTCAGCTTCCCGAGGAGCTGGGATTACAGGTGCACGCCACCATGCACAGCTACTTTTTGCATTTTTAGTAGAGACGGTGTTTCACCATGTTGGCCAGGCTGTTCTCGAACTCCTGACCTCAGGCAATCTGCACGCCTCAGCCTCCCGAAGTGCTGGGATTACAGGCATGAGCCACCGTGCCTGGCCAGAGGGAATTTAACATAGGGAATCACTAGTCCCATAGGTATTAGAGGACTGAAGACGTGAAAAGGGGATACCCTGGCAACACACAGATAGCTGCAGGGAACAGTTCTCACGCCTAGGACTAGAGAAGAAGGGGAAGCGGCTGGGGTTGATAGAACTTAGAAGTTCAGGGAAGAGGCCTCAAAGAGCTGAGCCTCAGACCTCAAGAAGGGACCGTTGCCCAGATAGGGCCAGGACCTCTGAGCTTAGAGGAAGGACACACTAGAGGGAACCTGGAAGGCTGGAGGAGAGGTGTCTTGATCCTTCCTATTTTTTTTTTTTTTTTTAATTTATTATTATTAAACTTCAAGTTGTAGGGTACATGTGCACAACGTGCAGGTTTGCTACATATGTATACTTGTGCCATGTTGGTGTGCTGCACCCATCAACTCGTCATTTACATCAGGTATAACTCCCAATGCAATCCCTCCCCCCTCCCCCCTCACCGATCCTTCCTATTTGCTGGTTGTCCCTGTTTGTGTCATCCCAGCAGTGGTGCTTCACCCTGGCAGTGGCGACTGGTTTCTTTTTTTTTTTTTTTTTTTTTCAATCCCAGAACAAGGCTCATCATGCCTCCTACTGGCAGAACCTAACAGGCAGCTGCAGAGGAAGAAGGTGATTTCCAGCATCTCAGCAGGAACCTGGAAGCTGAGCATAGGA